TTTTATTAGGCTATACATTACTTTAAGTTGATATAATTGTAATAATTGACAGGTGTGGACGGGACAAGATAAATCTTTTTTTTCGGTCCACACCTTTTAATTATTAAAATTATCTCAACTTTTATAAAATATTTCTTGCGGTTTTTTTATTTAATGTATAGCCTAATAAAAGAAGAATATATTTGACAATTTTGATGCCAAAATATTATACAATAAATTATCTACAATTTTTTTATAAAAACAGTTTTGTAATTCGTGCGTTTCGCGCGTCTGAAATGACCCAAAGGATAAAATATTTTTTTTAACAAAATCATATTTTAAAGTTATTTTATTATTTTAAAGTAGGAATAATTGTTAAGTTTAATTAAAATAATAACAGGCATTGTAAATGTAAAAATTACGTTAAAAATGTTTGTTGGGATGGTTACTTTATTTTGTAGACCTATATTCTATAAAAAAGTATAGTATGCAACTCGTTTATAAACTTTTCTAGGCACTCATTTAATTAAGCACTCGCTCGCAAGCTTACTCGTGCTTAAATTAAATTCGTGACTAAAATGGCGATTATCAAAATTGATACATAATATACTATAAAAACCATAGGCTTTATAATTATTAAAAAAAATAGAAATAGAAATAGAAATACCTTAATGCAATTCTTATACATTTTGTTAAAAAGTACCAAAAAATTTTCATTAAAAAACGTTATGGTCGTTGAGTAACTTAACGCTGCGGTAAATATATTTAAATAAACAAAATTATGTAAGATGACAGCACTGTTTTCTATTATATTACAGAATTTGGCATCATCGATAATTATCGATTATAATCGATGATCGATTAAGTAGTTTTATTGAAATACTGAATTTTGCCTCCTTTTAATTTTAAAATGTAAAGTATTAATTTGAATGCTTATAAAATTTTTATAAAATAAATTTTTCTAAAGATCAATGGCGTAGCTAGAGAACATAATACAATATTCTTCAAAATTCGTTTAAATCGGACATCAAATAAAAAGTTATTTGCGATCGAAATTCATTGAAAATTTGTGTGAATCGATTATTTTGCCTGTGAGTGAATATAAAAAATTTTATAATCATTTTTTACAAATATTTAAAAAAAAGTAATATAATTCTTCAATCATTTAAATTAAATAATTTTTTAGGGGTTTACATATATATTTTTTAGCGGTTATTTTATGTTTTGCTAGTTTCCAAAATTTTGGATTGGACACAATAAAATTGTTTGGAGATACTTTGGTTAAAAAAATAAAATTCTTGCAAGCTACATTTTCTTTATATTTAATAATTTTTTGTATATATTTTTTAGCGGTTATTTTATGTTTTGCTAGTTTCCAAAATCTTGGATTGGACACAATAAAATTGTTTGGAGATACTTTGGAGATACTTTGGTTAAAAAAATAAAATTCCTGCAAGCTAGATTTTTTTATATTCAATAATTTTTTGTATATATTTATTTTGAACAGTAGAGGGCAAATTTTGTTGATGATGTATTATAGCAATTTTATTTAATAATAAGATAAGATGTGTTTGGGTTTTAATGCTAAATATAATTAGTTTTGTCAAGATACCTACCATTTTTAAATATAAATTAAAGAGACTAAGACAATATAAATTTTTAAGTAATTTTAACGTTATTTGTTTGTAAGTATGTATTTTTACTACGTTATTCTTTTGGTCGCTTTGATGGCAATAGTTATTATGTAGTAAAAATAACGTATTAAATCATTTCTCGCTTGGGATACATAAATTACATTTTAAAATGCATGAAGACAAGATTAAAAATCATGTTTAAATTGGAAGGGACTTGTTATGAATAATAATGAAAAAAATTGACTTCCTAAAAAATTTAGTTGTTTTCTTGTTTTATTTGGGCAATTTATAATATTTTGTTTATTTATCGCCTATTTGCTTCTAGCTCACCTAAGGCAATGTAAGCATATAAATTGTTTAGCATACGACTTAACGCTCACCTACTATTTTAAATTTATGTAGACAATTTCTTTAATTTAGGTTAAAACTGCGTATCCAATTTCACTTGCACTTTCTTGCTTTATTAATTAAAATTTTCTTTATTAAAGCGTAAAGGAAACCTGTTGAAATAAACATTTTAAATCATTAAAATTATGTCAGTCGTTATTGACTTAATCTGTGATTTAATAATTTTTCTTTGCTATTTACGTTACGCTAATAAATTTAATATATTTTTTTAAATATTTCATAAGTATCATTTATCAATGTCCAATTCTTTCTGACATTGATATAGTATTAGGGGCATATTTTTATGCATTGAGTACATTCTTGACATAACTCGGCATTTTGTTGACACTTATTAACCATTAGAGATCAGTAAAATTTAAATATTAAAATTGACTGTTTGCTGTATTAATATTTAATTTACATTTGTGTCATATAAATAGATTATAATAATTATTTACACTACATACATATGTTTAACAAGATTTAACCGTAGGTAGAGAAAATTTAAAAATGTAAAAACAAACAAATAACGATAATTGGTTCGTTGGCTCTGACACTGTAAATATAAAAAAATCTGTGCCCAGGGCCTTACAAGAACCTTCGTTGTTTTACCTTTTAGTTTTTCGTTTCAGTAACTCAAGGAGATACGCTCATGACTTTGTGGGTATTTTTTATTTAGGAATTTTGTTAAAGATTCTAGTTTGTCTAGTTTTATTTAGTAAGACATTTATTATACATTTGTAGGTTGCATATGGTGCCGGGTGTGAGGATGGAATTTAATTTTTTTAAATTATGATGTTTAAACTGTTGATATATCTACTTTTTTACTCATTAGCATACTTATTAACTAGATTTCTAATAAAGAATTATTTATTGTCAAAATGTATAGGTATATCTTCATTTCTTTTTTGGCCATACCGAGCACATGTAAATAAAAATATAGAATATAAAATAGTTTTATATTAAGCAGTTTTTTCTAATAATAATGAAAACAATGATTTAATCCTAATTAAGATTATTATATCCATACAGAGTGATTCTGTTTAATTAATAATAATAATCACAGTTTCACATCACATTGGTCATTAAAATAAAAAAGTAATTTGCCAAATAAAATATGGTCAAATTTTGCTTCTTAAAGACTTTACATATTCTTGATTAAATGAAGTAAGTACACCAATCTTATTAGTTTAGTACATCACATATTGAAAACACATGAAAACATGATGTGGTGCATATTTTAGGGGTTTGGATCAAGCAAAAACTTTTATCAATAATAAAATTCTCTGAGAAATGTAAAATCATGTAAAATGTACATGCACTGATAATGAAACAAATTTTGTAACCGATTAATAAAATAATATTATTTAAGTAAAACTTAAAATTGTAATGGCTATAAAAAAATGTACGACCCAAGGTACCTTTTTTATTAAATTTTCAGTGTCTTATTGAAAGAAAAACCTACGATTTGTCAAAGTAATGAGATTATTTTTATTTACGGAATAAACTTTTTTTACTGTTAATAAAATTCTCATTTACTAAAATGAAGCAGCAATGTTGAACTTTTATAAAAAAAAATATTCATCCAACAAAGTAATAGTTGTTATCATATTGTCATGGCAATACGAAATACTATATTAAACACAGACCTGTGATTAAATCTTTGTCGAACTTAAAATGTTTTTGTTAAATCTATAGTTGTGTGTGAATTGCGCTTACATAAAGTAAAATTTGTTAATTTTACTATGGCATATTAAACAAATTTTGTCTTTTTTAAATTACTATCGTTGTAATTCAAATTAATTTTATTTCAGTTAGAAAATCTTTGTTAATTACGTTAAGAACAATAACAAAAATATGTTATTGCTATAAAAAGACTTTTTTTGATAACAAAATTTTTGTTATTTCCCTTTAAAAGAGGGGGAAAGAGCCAGCGCTCTCCTTGGTGAACATAACTTTATAATCCACAGTCTGTATTATAATCTTATTGATTTTACTTGTGCGAGTGAAGTGTGGTAAAATTTAGCATGATAAAAATATCAAAAAGATCACTAAGAAAATTAAAATTTCGACGTTTTCTAAAAGAAATATTTAAGGTCTATTCTATAAACGAAGCAGACGTGTTTAAAAAGTAAGTTCATATTTTTTTATTTTGTACATCATATAATATGAGTTAATTTTTTTGTTATAATAAATAATTTGTTTTAATATCTTGCTATTATTTTAAAAAAACTACCCAATACCCAACAGTAGGTTAAAAATTTGACCATTGTTACAATGAAAATAGTTTATTGAATTAGCAATTAATGTTTTGTTAAATTTACATAAATTTTATTAATATTATAAAAAAAGTTTTATTTTAAACGAAAAGGGATTTGTAAAATTTACAAAATTTATGTGAGTGTTTCATTAATACTAGAAAAAGGTTTTTGTAAACGGTATAGAACTGTTTTTTTGGACAAATAATAATAACTATATTTATCAACGCGTTTCTGCATCTGGAAGAGTGTTATTTTTATAAACATAACGTAAATTTACTTAATAATTAATGCAAATGCTATTACTGAAAGCAGCGTTTGGAGATAAATAATTCTTATAAAAATGAACTTTTTGCTGCAACAAAAGCAACTGCAACATGTTGGACGAATAGGGATCTTTACTTTATTAAGAGAAACTCCTTTTTTTGTTATATTTATTAAAAAAAATGTATGAGTGTATCCGTGGACATACTGTATATACAATAACATTAACTGGCTAAGGTTATTTCTATTCTATAGAAATAATATATTATTGAATATATAAAGTGGTTATAATTACCTATATAAACAAGAGCTGATTAAGCAAAATTATGTTAATTTTTTAAATTTAGCTCACCCAAATTACCCTGCTGTTAATTAATTTTAAAATAAAAAGTCTATGGCAATTCACATCATTAACTTAATAGAAATAAAATTAATAACCTATAAACAATATCAATTGAATATTAATTTTTTATTTCAGTTTTAACACATCACCATGGCATTCGGAAGAAACAACTTGGCGAACAGAAACAGGAACAGCTGGGGACCTATGAGTCTCAGCTTTCCGCGAAGAGATCCCGATGAAGAATACGCCGAAGAGTGCACGGAAAGAATGATGAACGCGCAGAGTCGTCAATTGGACCCGCTTAAGGAAGACTTGGCGGACTGGCTTAATAAAACCCTTGGTAAGTACTAATTTAAATTTTAGATGATAAGCTTTGTTTAACATTGCAAGGAACAGAGGAAGTGTTAAATAAAAGTAACGTTTTTACGAAAGAAATATGTAACAATCCGAATTTTACACTGTGAAGTATAAAAAAATTAATCAAAGTCTTAATAATTATATTTGCAATCTGCCGGTATAACTACCTATGTAGTACACTACTTTTGCTTAAAAAAAATTATAATTGAAGACAAAAACATGTTGATATATAAATTTAATTTTGCATTCACAACGTGGGTGAGATTTTATTGGTATTAAGGAAATAACTGCCAAGAAAATAACGAAAAACACACAAACAATGTAAATTATTGGTCGTATACTGTAACTATAGTATGTAGACGCTACTAAGGTTCCTTGTTACGAGGTTTATAGGAAAATAAAAGGGATTTTTTGTTTGCGTCAGTAAAAATTGACACTATTGTGTGAAATTTATATACAGGGCTTTTAATTAGAAACCAGCCACCCTTAATAACTTTTGAGTACTATATGCTGTTATCATCGTAACAAAAGTAGAACTTTTAATAATCAGCTGTCAAACGCTTATGTTACAAACTAGTGTTTTTGAGAATAAAGCCGGAAAATGTATCGAAAAAAAAAAACCGTGGCTCGATTTGTTGTGTTGTTGGGTGTATTTCGAGAGGAAATCCTGGGTTGAGTTTTTACCGGTTTTCCAATAAACAGGGTTAATCTGAATGAAGAAATAAATTGCATACAGTCTCTGTAAATATAAATTGTACCTATTAGATACAATAAATACACATTTTAGTAGTTATTAACGTGAAAAGTGTAAACATTTCAATTCAGTAAAAATCGTCAAACAAAAAAGTCGTCTAAATTTAAACAGAATTTAGCATTATTAAAAGCGTTGATTAAGAAAGTCTTCACTCAACGGTAAAATACCATTATTTATATTATTATATATAATATTATGTTGCCATGAATTCGTAGGTATAATTTGTTGTTTAAAATGCAGTTGTCGGCGTTTTTTAGAGAACTCAAATATAAAAATGGTTGCTTTTAAGGTTGTTTCTTAAAAATGTCCAAATTTAAATATAAATTATATTAGGTAAAGTTATCATTAGTTAATTCTGCACAAACAAATGTATACATTTCTTATACTTACCGAATTGGATCCTTTGGCAAAACATGAAAATGCAACGATTTAGTTCTTGTATTTTATTTACAATTAAAAACACAATAATTCACCATGATCCCTTTGATAAAATACACACACTAACGTAACTATATATATAAGCATTTAAGCGTTGGGTTTCTTAATCAATGATATAAGGAATAATAAATCGAAATCGAGAACTAAAAAAGTTTTTTAATTTTTTCATTGCAACGTAAAACACAAATAACGTGCGCGATTTAGCTGTGCAATTGAACAAAATTTGTCGAGTAAGACTTCTGCCTTCCTCTCTTTTGTAAAAAACTACCTATTTATTTAAAGAATGATGTATAATCTGTGCTTTAAATGTATTGTTGACAATTCTTAAATTCACGCAATGCATTTTAAGTCCACCAGATGGCGCGCGCGTTGCGAAAACCCGATACTTATTTAGCGTATAGTAAATATGATTTTGAGCAAAACAGGTCGATTTACATATTGAGGGGGAAGTACAAATTCAGTGTAAACACATTTTATTTTGCATCCTGTCACCTCCAGCTAGCCTGTATATTAATACCAGGAATAGTTTATTTAGAATGTATTAGAAAAACATAGAATAACATTAACATTTAAATAATTTTAGTAAGATAAGTAATACCTACAGGTTTTTTGGGTAGCACATATTTTGCTATAAATTTCTTTTGCAAAATGTCTGCAACCACCTTCCATACAAAAATACAATTCTTTTCAAAACGCCCTTTAACATTTTGAAGTATTTGGGGAGTTATTTGACGGCATTTATCCACAAATATGGGCTACGATACGTTTTCGCACTTCTTGAAGAGACCAACAAAAAAGTCTAGGGGAGTCAAATCTGGGGTTCTGGCCGGTCAATCCAGAGCTCCTCTTCGTCCAATCAATTGTCCAGAAAACAAAATCGTTTTCGACAATATCGACCAGCAAGGGATGAACTACATCTTTTAGTAATTTCAAACAGGTGCGATTCCTCTGTTAAGTAACCATAAATAAAAATGTGTTTAACCAGACGATCTCCAAAAATACCTGCCCAGTTATTAAGTTATTTATGAGTTTGAGTGTGGACTTCGAGCTTCGTGGAAAACTCTTGGACTTGCATCTGACCAGTAACGACAATTATGACGATTGACAGTTCAGTTTAAAAGAACGTACATTTGTCTAAAAAACAATCTAAAAACCAAATTAGCTACTCTAAAGCTTGTTTTTTTATCCACAGTTCTATCCGGATGGTGTTCATTGAATAAATCTGCTGCTTACTAGCTAAAAACTACTGTTTCGTTTTCGTGGGCCACCCTGTAAATAAAACTATGATAAATCTTTTAATTTGCAAAGGAGATGCAATAAAAAATAAAGAACACGAACAAATTTATTAAGGAAAGCAAAACTATAATTTGTGAAAGAACTGCTTATAAAATAACAAAATTTAACAAAACCATTTCATGTCTGCACAACCTAAATCAATGTTTAAATTATGCTGTTTAATGCAATTTTCCATTACGAAAAATCAAACAAAATACCATCCACCAATCAAATTTTTGTGTTTGGTCGATAGATACAAAGACCTTCGTCGTTATTATTATGCACATAATTTTGGAGTCACGCTAGATATCTGTCAACTAACAGGCAACGGCAAAAGTTCTGTAATTGAACTTTAAATTTGCCCAAAGTGCAACAAGCCACATGCTGCAACAAAGTTTGCAAGTTCAATTGGATTTTAAATTAAATGTTCAAGGTTTAAAGTTGTAATTTTTTTTGAGGAAATGTAGAAAAACATCTCTAAAAGTTCTTGAGAAAATAAATTAGACCAACTTGAAACGTTATTAACTTTTTTATTGTAAAAGTAACCGGGTGTTACTTTACCTTTAAGTTACTGTATGTTTTTACATATTATTATTATTATTATTTCAGTGATATTTAACAATTTCCAAAATTTTAAATATTATTTTGTATGAAGAAATCTGTGACCGGTAAGTTGACGGTATCTTTGGTAATCAGTCATTGTGTAAAATTTTTCAGGTTGTTACAAACAATTTGTTGATTTGTTGTGTAAACACAATTACCTACTGATAAAAAATAGCAGTCAGTGAGTTACAAAAAAATATGACAAACAAAACATTTTTAAAATTTAAAAGTAATACAAAAAGTATAATTTTGAAAAAAAAAATCAACAAAGCTGTAGAATGTCAACTAGATGAAGCAATAGCTCATTGGAGGCAATGAAATAAAAAAATTATTTTAGGAAATATTTTAATAACAAAAAGATTGTGTAACTGTAACAATTGAATAAACCAACAATATTTTAATTAACAATTTTTATTACCAATTTATTACTAAATGTTCAAAGTTACATTAAGTCATATTTCTTAATTCTTACTTCTACAATAGACTTGCTTTTCTTGACTAATATTAGAAACTGTTAAATATCTCCAAAATTATTAAATTTAGGTATTGGAAATACTTACATCAATTAAAATGTTTTTTAATTTTAAATTTCAATATGTAAAAACATACAGTGTGTGACATTTAAAATAAAAGTTATTAACGTTTTAAGTTACCCTTATTTGTCATTTTGTTTGGTCAATATTTAATTGAACGACTTTATTAAATAAAAAAGTTTTCCTTAAAAATATGTTTCCATTAATTTTATCAAGTTTGGGTTTTATCCATCTTCCCTAAGTAAAAGAGCAGTTACTGAACAGTAACATTAAAACTGCAATTAAAATTTCATGTATTTTTGTATGCAATAAAGTCGTATTAAAATCCAATTGTGTACACGCCACTGAAAACAACAATAACAGTGGTGTTTGGCAGCAACAATATCCGATGCGATATGGGTTAGTAGGCTAAAACAAAAGGTGGAACAAATAGTGCACCTTAACCATGAACACAGCAACTGGCAGCTCGCAAAACTGGACAAACTTGAGATACCGCTGTAATTCGATAGTAATCGTGGAAAAGAAAACGATTTACAACGTTAAAGCGACACTAAAACGCAAATTTAAATTAAATAACACCTTTTTAATTGGCACTACTACATGTAAGTAATTGGATCAAGTTAAAGTGTGACGTGTGAGGTTGGTAATGGCCAAGTCGAGAGATCTGATTGGTTTCTTGATTATTTTAAGGGGACATTTCATTATAAAGAAGTTATTGCAAATTTATGCCTAAAATTAAATTAAATTTAAATACAGGGTCGTTCTAAAGTAATTATTTTTTATTTTTGGTTTTTGCAAGAAAGTCTTTCTTGATACATAGTTTTTATTGCCATAAAAATGGGGTTTTATCTACAGGGTATTCTAAATTTTTTTAAGAGGGTGTAATTAAAAATGATGTCTGAAAAGAAAAGTCGTGGATAAAATGTTTTGATTGTCAAAAAAATAACATTCACTTGGTTAAATTTGTGATTTTAACTACAGGGTGTTTATAAGTTACAAAAGTCGCAAAATAATTAAAAGTACAAAATAATTCAATTTTCTTTATAGATATTATATTTTGTTTTGTAAATCTTCCTATAATTATTTCTATAAAAAAAGTAAAGGTCTCTATTTTTAGATGTAAAATTAATAAAAACAAAATTTAACAATTTTTAAATTTTTGTTGGCTTCGCCTACGATGAAAAAACCAAAGATTTGGAAACTTGATTTTTAATGGATTTTTTTGTATTGTAGTACATTTTATCTACTTCTGTTGTATAATATTGTTTTTTTTGCGTATAAAGGGTGTCCCAAAACTCGCGCCACAGAGAAAAAGGGGGAGTGCAATGGAGATGCCAAATTTAAAAATAAAAAATTTCTAACCCGCTGAACTGAGATCGG